GTATCTACCTGACCTAAGTAGAATAGTATCTACCTGACCCAAGTAATCTAGTATCTACCTGACCCAAGTAGAATAGTATCTACCTGACCCAAGTAGAATAAGGAGGCATATCAAATACACGCATGGAGGCATATCAAATACACGCAAGGAGGCACATCCTTAAATTATTTTAGCTCTTAATAGGACGTTAAACTCCATAAAACCAAATCACACGTCTTTGCCCAATCCGTAGCTGCTGGATCTGCATTGTGGTGTGAAAATCTCGAGACTGCATACCCAATACTTAAATTCTTCATCCAACTAAGAGCCATACTATGCCAGCTTGCGCGGTAGCATTTTATGGGGGGCACCTTGTCAAATACTTCGGAGAAGGCAAGTAGAATAGTATCTACCTGACCTAAGTAGAATAGTATCTACCTGACCCAAGTAGAATAGTATCTACCTGACCTAAGTAGAATAGTATCTACCTGACCTAAGCAGAATAGTATCTACCTGACCCAAATAGAATAGTATCTACCTGACCTAAGTAGAATAGTATCTACCTGACCTTAGTAGAATAGTATCTACCTGACCTAAGTAGAATAGTATCTACCTGACTTTCCTTTTCAACCTTTTTTGGCGATGCAGTCAGTTATTGTCAACGGCTGGGTCTCGTATCATCTACGGGAGCAATAGCCGTGATGCTGATCTGTGCCAATGGAAATTCATCCGTCATAGTTATCTATAATTCAACTATGAATAGCAGTTTGCACGAGACGGACGTCATAGAAACTGGAGAATATTTGGTGACTTGATGTTTATCACTTTTAAAATATGGGGATATCCAGTCCTCTGGACTGACACCACTGTCCTACTTTTCTGAAAAAATGAAACAGGTGATAATATTCATTCTTACTTAGTGTGCAATTCCATTCATTAATGAAACACCCTAGTGACTTTAGGAGCGTTTTTAGAAGATACATAACCATCATATTTGATAGAAATCAGCAAATTGTATTTCATCTATATTTACAGAGAGGAACAGATTTACTGAAACGGAAAGCATCTAGTAGCCTCCGGGCTGTATGGAATCCTCGTTAAAGAAAGACAGAATTACATATAAAGAGTTATGATTATCGATTTAAAACTGGATGACCTTTAGGATTGTTGAGTGGAGAAAAACAACTACATAACCATATATGGAAACGGATTCTTAATACCGAAGTTCAGACATCTGGTCAAATAAAAACAAACTCGTAGCAGCAGTGGGTGATGCCAATCACTGTGACCACCAGAACCACCAGCATCATTCAATTTCCCATATTTAAGAGTATTTAATTTCGAGAACCAGATATTTATACGGCTACCGTTCTGTTACGTTAGAAGAAACAGAGTCATCGGTCAGTGATGTTTTACCTGAACAGTTCACCCCTGTAGGTCGGGGATCGAGAAAAGAAATACGTCTGCTGTTAACCACTACATATATCGTAGTATGTGGTACCCCCTGCAGAGGTGGGGATTTTCCTTTGTGTCCTCTATTTGGGGATACAAAAGCGACCAGAATAAATCTGCTGCACCCGTTGCATTTTTTTGGGATCTTTATATTTCTCTTTACTTCTAACTACCTTTAATTTCCTAACGCCTTGCTTGGCAATACTTCATTCTAGCTTTAATGTTAAACGTTCTCCCTGGTGAGGAAGGCATGTTAAACGTTCTCCCTGGTGAGGAAGGCATGCTTAACATTCTCCCTGGTGAGGAAGGCATGTTAAACGTTCTCCCTGGTGATGAAGGCATGCTAAACGTTATCCCTGGTGAGAAAGGCATGCTAAACGTTATCCCTGGTGAGGAAGGCATGCTAAACGTTCTCCCTGGTGAGGAAGGCATGTTAAACGTTCTCCCTGGTGAGAAAGGCATGTTAAACGTTCTCCCTGGTGAGGAAGGCAATGGGTTATGTTAACCTATGAATCGGATGGCTCTCGGAAACAAGGAAACCGTTCCCAGGCCGAGACATACCAAAGTCCGTAAAATGGTTGTTG